CCATTGCTCACCTGGCTGAGCGACATATCTAAGCTTGTTTGCCGTTCTTGCCCGAGTCACCGCTGTCTGTCGGTACGGAGGTGGAATTCCGAAATTGCTTTCATCCGAAGAAATGTTCTAAGAGGAAGATTAATTGGAGAATACCGCTCCGGCTCGTGCACCCAGACGGTAGCAATAATAGAGGATCTAGAGGCGCATTGGGAATCGAACTTCACCGGGATTATCAAATTCCTATTTTACCCGAGGCTTGGTATAAAACCAGTAATGAAGTGGCGTATGGTAAGACTCGTCACCACATTTCAGAGACAGGAACTGACGAATCACGGATCCAGCTGGAGCATCTACAGACGTGCCTTCTTGCCAGAGTTAGTATGTACCAGCAGTAGAAGCCACAACCCAATCCATCGGCGATTCAGACTTTCAGATTAAATGATGCTGATCCCCACCGTTGAACCGATTCTCTTATTGCGGGGTCTCGGCCACTTCTCCATTTCGGGTTCAATGGCAACTCAACGTCGTTGAATGAATACGATCACTGCTCGGCTTGTTCATCTTTCTGAAACGAGATGCAATGTACCACAGCTGGAAGAATTAATTAGGGAATGGTCGATCGCGTGGATGCCATCATCGGGGAGGAGGGGAAGGCAAGGTAGTGCTGTGCATCCTTTCCTCCTCGAGCAGTGGTCCATTCCTGTCGCTTATTTAGTAAAGCATGGATTAGTAGTTCTTATGCAGTCACCGGCAAAATGATAGCAAGCACGGTACAAAGTACGGCTCGAGCCTTGCCATTCGGCGCTGGAAAAAGGAACTGTCAAACTGGGACCCGGGCGCAAATTGCCAGGGCGACATATGTCTTGCGCCTGTAGACGAGCCGAACCTAGGGGTAGCTGATTCGATTTGGAGGCAATAATAGCAAACCCGCTAGTCATTCCAAATAGTAGTCAGTAGCAATAACGTCAACAGGCAGATATGACAATGTCGTAGTGTGGATACAATATCCTGCTCTCGGCCCCACGGGATGGACAACGAGGGCAGGAACTCCACCGGCACTAGTGTCTGATAAAGATAGAGACATCGTGTGTCCCACGCCGGAATCGAGATAAGGCAAGATAATGCTGATAAGACCAGAACAAAGTAATTAGCCTTGGTCATTCCGTGACCAATAAGACCATCAGATACCGCCGATCGGGACGAATCGCAGTCAACGCAATTACTATGTCAGTGTCTTCTGGCTGTCAGCCTGCCTTGAGGAACAAAGGGCTCCGGATACTTACATCACCCATCCCCTCTTAGTCTAAATGGTAACTGGCTTTGCTCATGAATCGTGGCAAAAAAACGCGCGACAACTTGCTAGGCTAAGAGGGGTTTGTCAGGGACAGCTAAATGAAAGTGGGTGCGTGGCGCATGAGCAGCCACTAAGAGACTGTGGCCGACACTAGTCACTGCTTCCCAATGCTGACGAACCGAGGGCATGCTTGCTGATCGCCAACAATTCATTGTACGAGGATTATTTCTTTCCGGCAGGGGCCCCTTGGATAAAGCCACACATGGATGACGGATAGCAGTTCATCCTGGTTGATTGCATTTTGAGAGCTCCCGAGGGAAAATGGAGAAGAACGATGGGGAAAGCAAATGATCGATCAAAAGCATTACAGCCGACCGACCAAATTGTCGCGTGCTTAGCAACTAAATGAGGATTGATAGGCCGACTGAAACGATGATCCTGTTTCAGTTGCGGACCAGGTGGCCAGAGAATCGTAGGAGGATTCCTGGAGAAATCAGAACAGTTGTGGCAATAGCAGATCCAGCAGTGTATGCGGTGATGGTCATTGTGACGGGCAAGCACAAACGACGATCGACTCCACATCGTGCAATATCAAACGATATCACTGGGCTTATACGTCTGTACTCTCGTAGTACGGGAGTTGAGTACCAAAGGCAGCGCGGAGCACACGAAGGGATGTAAGACAACTGACGTACGCAGTGGTACTACTCAAAACACTCGGCCCGTTTGGCAGACGAAAGAGAGCCCGAATCATAGCACCTCGGAATGTGTTAGTCTCAGACAAAGACAAGCATATTGTTGCGCTACGTACCATGACTATTCAGTAGTCACCAGCCACTCTGACGTAGAAAGGAGAAAGTAGAAATGGATCTGACTGGAACCATGGAGGGAACCTCTAGCATGGTCCAATGAGCGAGATCAGATGGACAGTTGCCAATTACCCATCCAACGGTACTTTGGCTCTCAAGATCATCGTGGAGGAATACCGCCGATGAGATGGAAAGGCTGAAGCTCCCAGCCGTCCCCCACACTGCATGGGGAGAAGCAGTTGCGCCAGCGACCAGTGATGGTTGTCCCTGGAGTTTCTGGCGGGTGCGGCGGGAAAGCAAAAAATAAACTGGAACCCTTCCCCCGCTTCTCCTGTCTGCAACTTGATATATCAGTACAACGACAATGGCAATTGAAGAATCTTGAAAAGATTGCCTTATTTCTCAGAGAAAAGACAATTATGAACTTGTGATGCTGAGGAGTGAGTTGTTGGTGGGCTTAAGGATGATCCACATCCGTCGATGCTATTGTTGGATTGCGTGGCTGGCTGCCAAGGGGGAGTGGGAAGGGGCGTTTTGAGGCGTGGATGTCCAGAAGGAGGACATGGAAATACTGCTGGTATATAGAAAAGGCCGTCATATGCAGTCGACCCTATGACTTGTCAGAATGGGGGAGCGTGGCTTGAAGCCTGAGTCCTAAGGCTCTCCAGCGCACATGATGAGGAAGAGCAGGGAAAGAACCTTAACAGGGAGACGAGTCCACAGCTCCTATATAAGATTGACCCTGAGACTGAGAGACAGCAAAAGTAATCCGAAGTTTATCATCACTCCAGAACCGCATGATAAGGCGTCACCGAAGGTGATAGCTGTCGAGGGTGAATTGCTGCGCTCACAGACGCAAAGAACCAAACCAGTCATCTCAGCCCATTAGGATTCGGGTCTGGTTTTGTATGCTCGCCCTTTGTTTCAGACCGAAAGAATCAAGCCCGATAACTGGAACAAGAGAGCCGCTCTGCGATAACTTTGCATCCTAGACCCCTGGAGGTTGGAGATAAGACCATGATTTGCACCCGACACGCCACGTTAGGATCCAGGCTTGTCCCGATACCCTGCCATCCACACGAGCAATAGGAATGCGCTGCTGGCAGTTCAGCGTCCTCAATGGCTACGAGGGTGATGTCGTTATCAGGACAATGCCAAGGGTAACATCAATATAGACTTCAGGCTGTCTTGTGTATCTCTTCTTTCTCCATATCTTCTCCACACGCACCCCAGATACTTCTTTTCGGTCTCCATGCGATGGACCTAGATATATCCTAAAAATCCTCGCTCCTCCATTATCTTTGGATCTCGATAGATCAACTGACTCATTTCAATTGCACGCAGGAAAATTGATTCTCTGAGATGTTATCATATCTCTCAGCGGCTCGTCCGACTGAGCTCGCCGAAATCCTGGCACGGATTACAATCCCTGCTCTTCTACGAGGTCCTCCTGATAAGGAGCACACTCCATTTCATTGGCATCTCACATGCTAAACTGATTATACCTTCGACTCACAACTGCATCTTGTCGCCGCAGCGTCTCAATGCCTATGGCGTACGATCAACTCCAGATGCTTATGCTTCTACTCTTAAAACGTTTTAACGATCTGTATATCCAACTGCACGACGACGGATTGAGTACGGAGGACTCAACTGTCGTGCACCCGAAACACAGTAGCTTGCTGCTGCACTAGACCTTACAAGGCCAAGGGCCGATGGTGATCGATGAGCTTTCTCCGCGGACGATATCGGCCATCGGCCCCGATATATCGGTCCATGGTCCGTACTGCAAGCCCTAATGCAATGTAACGTTATTCAGGAGCAGATAACGGTTGACAATGCTATTGAACAGATCTAGTCCTTGCTAGTATATGTATCTAACTGTAGTGATTGATATATCTATGCTCCTCTGACCTGTTCCGTCGATCTATCCTTCGAGGCCTACGTTCTCACATATTGATGATACATTTGTGAGATTAAATCTGAATAGCCTAAGTTGACGAACCCTTCAACTCTGTCCAGTCACGACACTTGTCTGAGCCGAGCTGGATAATCTATAGACCTGTTGGGGCTTAGATTCGTCATATATCATGGCCAAAATTGCACATTGCGCGAGTGAGGTCGTACAAGACAGGACAGCAAATAAACAGCCCCTGGAAGGCTCGACACCTATCTGATTCCTAGGCGGGTAGCTGCTAGGGCTAGATGATATGTAGCAGATTCGTCACCCGTTCATTTTTATGTAGCTTCTAATCTAGTGATGTATGCAATGCAGCTTGGTATCATATGACATGGCAATTCGAATTCTCGGCAAGGGGGTAAGAAAGTCTATACATTTAAATCAAACATGAGGTAGATGGGAATGGTTGTAGTCAATGTCATGAAACAGGGATATTGTGGTAATGATGATGATGGTGAACAGGCATATCGGAGCGAGAGTCGACAGGCTGTGTAAAGAGGTATGGCAAACAGATGGACCAAGCAGGCTTTGATGGGTCAGTTTTTGCTTGAGCTGGTCTCGTAGAAAGCAAGAACTCGAGCAAACTGGTACTTGCCTCATGTCAAGAGATGAAAAATGAAAGGTTTAAAGGTTAAAAGTAGATCGTGAACGAAGGCTGGAACCACAAAAGAAAGGGAAATGCGAAGCTGGAGACGTCGCCAAGTCTAAATGATATCGCACGGAAAAAGGTATCGCAAAGGAAGAAACGAATGACCAGAAGATGCCGCCCAAAAGATCCTTTTGCGCCCGCTAATGACCGGTGTGGAAGGTGAAAGCCATGACGAGAACTTCGTATGAACAGAGAAGCGAAATAAACGAATGCATGCGTGCCACTGGGTATTATTCTAAAACAAAATCCTCACTCTTTGTCGAATTATCCGTCTTCCGGAATCGGTTGTAGAGCAATTCATGAAGTCGGTGGCGGGCCCTGCCCGGGATGGCCCATGTGTGCCGGGGCACTTCCAAATGCTGCCTGCTGTGTCGGGTCTGCCGTATACATTGGATATGGCACTACATTCATCGTCGGCATACCGTTGATATCATGCCATCCGGGGTAGCCCATGGCCGCTGGCTGGCCGGGGTATGACATCGACACGGTTGTCGCCTGTAACTCGACAGGCGGAGGACTCTGAGGATTGACAGGCGGCCCCGGGTAACCCTGACCGGGACTCGTCATCCTGCGTTTGAGCTCCGGGTGCATTTGCTGGCTGAATTGGCTCGGATTCGGGTACGAAGCCATCTCCGGCTGTGCCGGAAAGGTCATCGAGCGTGTCGGTTGGGGGGGAACCGGCCACACTGAGCCGTCCGGTTGCATGGCATACGCCTGTACGGGGCTGATCGGTTGCGATTGGGACGGGACCGTTGGCGTTGTTGCCATTGCCGCGTTGGGAGGCATAGGCACCATGTTGTTCGGTCCCGGACTCCATGCGTTAGGAGGCATGTTCATCATCTGGGGCTTCCCCGCAGCCATAGCGCTCAATAGCTGGGGGTCAGAAATCGTAGTGTATTCGTCCCACGGAACTGGTGGATCTAATGCTGGTGCTGCCGCGAAATCTGTGGACCCTACGATGCGAGGTGGAGTCAGCAAACGCCGTTGTCATCTCAAGCGAGTCTGTCTGCCTACCTGGTACGAATGACGACATGGGATTGCCAGGAAAAGAAGTGGCATGGAACCCCGACGAATCCTGGCTCGCGTCTAAGGGCATGGGTTGGTAAGGGAAGAATGACTCGGAGTGGTCAGGACCTCCACCCATGGTGGGAGGTGATGAAGAGGTAGTCGAAGGATCTGTTGAAGCGCTTTCTATTCTAGAGTTTGGCCGGGACTTCTTCTCCACGGGAGGCTGCTGGTCAACAGGGAAGAACTGGCATTCCTTGCGTAGACGGATGCAGTTTTCGCATCGACCCTGGGCGTCGTCGGCTGCCACTAGACATCGGATCTTTCGCCGTCGGCAATGTACTATTCGCCAGAGCATGAGCCCCTTGATCGACCGGTAGAAAAAAAAAGAAAAAGGAAAGGAGAAATCAGATTGCGACGTTCACTCACCACATGCGACTGATGTGCGATGGTATCCCAACTTGTTGCGCTTCTTGTCTGCGGTGGGGTTTTCCATGATGGGTGCCTGTGTATTCGGTAACGATGTCATATTCTGGACCAGGACTGCGGGCATAGCTCCAAAAGGGCGAGAGATGGCGCAAAGATGCCACTGGGCCGAGGGTGCATCAATCGCACTAAGACGGAGGAGGGGAGAGTGTGAATTGTGGAGGGTAACTGCAAGGAACCACGGGCTGAGGCCATGCACGACAGACAAGAACAGAACAGAGAGATTGTCCAGGGTCTATCTAGACGAGACGACGAATGCGGCTGTGAGGTCGAGCTGGAGAATTGGTGAATGATGGGATGCGTTGTTTCGAGGATTAAGCGAATAATTGATGGCCTTGCGACAGTCGCCCCTCCACGTTTCAGCAATATATTTCTCCACACTCTGGTGGTTGTATTTTCCCGCAGCAGAAATGAACAATCCACAGATAATAATAGATATTAAGTCGTAATCAAGGGCGTGTTTCAGAGACGATTAGGCTGATCGAGATTCGACACTAGAGATCGTTCTTCTGTAGGAGTAGTTGTCGACGTCGTCGTTCGCCTGTCCTCGTCAAGTTTACGAAACGAGACAGAAGAAGTCGTGGTAGATGTTGCAATCGAGGTATGCACGAGCATAGAGCAAGAGAAGCGTCTGAGGTTCCTCGGCCTATCGAAAAGGGTACATCCACGGGGCGGATCAAGGACAATAAGGAGAAAGAAGAGAATAAATGATTGGGAAACAATAGTAATCAAATACTAGAAAGGTAAAATGTTGAAGAGAAAAGGGATAGAAGAGAAGAAAAAAGGATAATAGTAGTAGTAATAATAATAGGTAAGATACTCCGTCCTGAGTAGCAGCAGGAGTAGGAGAAAGAGGACGTATCTAGTAGGGTGAAAAGAGTGAGGCTTCGTGGTCTAAGGTCCCCCGGCTGTAATTTTTCCTTTTTTATTTTTTAACTTCAATTGATGATGGAGAGAATAATTATAATTATTATTCTGAGGTCTCTTTTTCTAGAAAGCCCAGATAGCTTCGAAAGGTTATGATTCGCGCAACTCTATGAGGATTAGAGTGTTGGGTATGTTGAGTAAGTACCTAAGGAAGGGGGAGAAATCAATTTTTTCCTTTTTCCTCTTTTTTTTGTTTTAAAGGAAAAACGAAATTAAATAATAATAAAAAAAGAGCGAAGTTAGAAAGTAAGTTAGCTAAAAAAAGAGTATAATAAAATAATACTAGTAGAAGAGGGAGAACAAGCAATAAGATGATAGAGAGGCAATGACGATGATGAAACCAGCATTCGGCAGTCTCCTTTACAGTACTGAACCGATTCATAGGGCAATTAGAAGAGATGCTGAATAAAAGTCCCTGTAGCTAAGGCGATGTCGATATCAGACTAATCATAACATGAAACGCCGAGTCTAGACGGTAAAAGGGTGATTTAATATTATTTTTATTCTAGTACCATACTCTGATGTCCAGTGTCCACAGCTATCATTTCCTTCTTCGTAGCATTCCAGCTTCCAGAATGTGGGCAATAGAATCCTCTTCTGAAGATGGATGACTGATTGATGTCTATAAAGCCGTAGGAGTCCATCAACGCAACGAAACGCATGATTGACGGCTTATCTACTGCGGTCTCTGTTGTTCAAGAGAGTGTATTGCAGTGGTTGAACCTCGATAACAAGCTTCAATTCCTTTTTTCTTTCAGCATCGCACTATACCGAATACATGTCAAGGAAGAACCCCCTGATCCTATCATGGCCATGGCACGCTCAGGACTGGTTGAGCCTGAGGGCACAAACCATGGTCCCCCAAATGGGTGACAGACCTTAAACTACCTCCAAGTGGGGGTGGGCAGCAAAACCATGCTTTCTCGAAGGAAAGGGTTAATAATGATATCAAAAAGGCTGAAGCCAGTCCATCATCTTGAGGTCTAAAAGGTCACTCCAATTCAAGAATCATTATAGTATAGATCTCCTACATAGCATCTATCATCCGGTGCCTTTTACCTAGGTTATTTGGGGAGGTTTGGCGTCATGCTTGAGGGAGGAATTTCAATCCCATGTCCATGAGGATGTTTGCTGTGAGCTCATTGGCCAGGTGCACAGCCAACGTCGGGGACTCGGGAACCTTGGCGAATCAGCATTAGGATCCTGGGTGAGAGATATTGCGCACAAGATGAGCTGATCGTTCATTGGGTTGGATCATTTGATGAGTCTGAGGGATTTCCAGAACAAGTCTAGTGGCACAAGACAGCAACATGGATCCTCGAACACTGTCGACCTTCGAGAAGCCCCTTGGTCGTCATCCTTTGGGCTGGGGAATCTGGGAATGATCCATGATTGGTGAGCCAGAGCAAGGTATGGGTCATGGGTAATGAGGCTTCTACCTACGTGCATTTTAGGTGTCTCAGCTGTCATGAGGCCACCTGTTCCTGCCTGTTCCTGGATCTGTTCAAAGGTGAGGTACTCGTCATTTTCAGATTTGTTGGCAGAGGTGCATCTCTTGAATTTGGAAATAGAGCAATGCTACTATGGCACTAGGTTGGATAGATGGATGTATGAGCGATGAAGTTATGAAATGGGAATGGAAGATGAAACAAGACCACAGAGTACCAATCTGTCAGAAAGGGGTGGGCCCCAAAGTCAGTGTTTGATTAAGGATCAAATCTGCATCCTAGCGTGTCCGATGGGTTCTTGGCCAGCAAATCTCAGCTGTATGAATCTGTAAGGGGTAATGACTAAGAGAGAACTAATGTGTCTGTCACTTAGTCCACACTGCGCTCAATGCGAAAACCTCAATCTGTAAACTGAAGACACAATTTTATGTGAAGACAGCACTGTCCTGGTTGATGTCATGTCCCAAGGGAATGGTCTGAGTTCTCGACCCACATTTATCTACATAGTATAAAGAGGTATACCAACTTTACTAAGTACCCAAGGCACCGTCTGATATGTCGAAGACTTAATTTACAGAAGAGCACAAGGTAAAACGAGATAATAAAGGACCGCTTTGATATTGTCGTATTGAATCTGCACACTATGACCAGGTGCCGATGTAACCCATCATGAGATACTCCATAGAGAACAGTATGAGCAATTCATAACAATAATACCATGTCAAACCATTGGACATCCTGCGATGCTCAAGATCGCAACCTTTACTATAAATATCATACCCACAGAACCAATGAGCACATTACCAAGTCCCAGTCCAAAGTCCAGCACTAAGTCCGTACCCACAATACGCGCAACCCCTATTGCTTGGCTCTTCTCTCCCAGACTTCAGGGTCTTGTTTCGTACCACCTTCACCTCATACATGTGTAGTTTAAACTCGATTCTCGACTCGAAATGGCCTAGTGCATGCACATATCTGAAACGAAGTATCTTTGCACCGATTGCAAGAATGCGCAGGCAAATTCCAGATTACGTCAGCAGACGTCTGGTGGTCGATTTTCAATCTCCATAGGGATGAATCAATCATTGCATATTTAGAGTATCTACGGAGTATGTCTGCAGAATGAACACAGTATGGTTTGATGGCAAAGGAGAGGGTCGCGTGGATGTTGCTCTTTTCGTCACTTGCTGCGAGTGCTAGTTAGTGGGATCGAAGACGATATACGTAAGCGAGATCGTCTTCAGAAATTGCGATGAACACCTCTGGTCGGTGCTCCAGTCACCGTTCATTTCCTGGGATTTGCGAGTCTCTTTCTTCCAATTCAAGTAACGACCACCATCACCTTTATCGTTTTTATTCACCCGCTTATGCGTAGACTGTGGACTGTGGACTGTGGACACATTCCAGCAGTAGCACTACTAGTGCCACACCATCTTGACTCCTGCACAATGATCCTTCGTTCTTCAAAGAACCAATGATGATGACTGCATCATTTCGGACTACGGAGTAAATCGCTCTATTTCGGCTGATTGCACAATTCGGTGCATTCTCCGACTGCAGGTACATAGAAAACCGCGCTACGCAACATAAGCGAATATGCAGCTCGCATTCCTCAGCATCATGTCTCAGATGTCAGGGCAGCTGGAGGCTGTCCATCCAGGACTGGCTTCACTCATGTCGCCTTTTTCATTTGTGATTTTGATGAGCGCCACATGGCGTGCATGCTAGGCCCGCTAATATCCAACTTATTTCCTCCGTAGAGACTCTCTTCATGAGAGGAAGAGAACAGCGTCAAGACCCAGACTCAGACTTAGATTCATAGCCTGCAGTGCACCGTGCCAGTAGAGCCCACTTGGACGAGGATTAGGTCTGTCATGGACGGACTGATGGGTAATGACACGATGGCCTTCTCTCTGGTGCCCACGTGCGCAGTCAATTTCCGTTGGGTAGCCATTTGCCCCTAACGAGACCCTGAAAGGCTGGGAAAAACAAAGTCACGGCTTTGCGCCGGAAATTACTCCGTAGGCTACTTATTCGCCTTCTTTCCAATGACAATAAATGAGACTGGCGTATGCTTGTATGCTGTGTCCCAGAGTTTGCTGGTGCCATGTCTTTCGGTATCCTAATCTTTTTTTTATTATTTTATTTCTAGAGATCTGTCTGTGTGCGCCATTCAAGAGGTACCGAGATTTTCTGGGAACTCATTTTCCATGCAGATAGAAAGAACTACGCCAGAGTTACTGTTTCAACTCGTGGAATCAGAGCGATGGGCTTTCGTAGACTGGCTCGGCGAAATTTATGTCTTCACTTTAGAGGTTACTCCGAAATAGGGCCCGGACTAGGTACAGAGTGTACTCCTACGCGACGGAGAATTTCGAAGCCAAAGTGCTGTATCCTAGATATAATAACACCATGCAAGTCATAAGAAGCTTGACTCGCCATTGGTGTGCACATCTCATCATTCTAACGCCGTATGCCAAAATACTCCGTACCGTATTTCTCGTGTTAGAAGCACGTCGAGCGCCCCAAGCGCAAAATGTCACTCATTCAGGTTTCCTTATGGCTTGCAGACCGGAAGATATCTGCGAGGGCAAGCCTCTTGGCGGCCCCATGGGCTCAATTGGTGCGTTTGTCTGAGGCGCACGCTGGCCTGTTTCACCATCTTCGGGCACTTAACTGCATGCAGACATGCTCTGATCAGTTTGACTGCTCCTCCTCCACCCTTACGTGTCTCTCACCATCATCACTAAAGCGTCCTGAACGTGGCATCTGAGTCGGTCCAATCGCATGCCTTGCTTTGGTGTCCGAAGGGGAAGGTTGCATTTTGGGTTTGGGACCGCCATTGGCCATGGACCTTGTGGCCCAATCTCGTACTCTCATATACACCACACTCCTCGGATTCTCCGCAACCTTATGGTTGCATTGGCAATATCCTCGAGCTTGCCCGTCTAAACGATTAACCGGTTAAAGGGGCTGGTTTGGTCAAGGTGCTTCCAGCTTTCTGCGTTCTCTGACCGTGATCCCATCATGACTATGACGTAACAGGCTACTATAGATAATAAAAGATCTTGTCTTGTAGAAGCTGCAGATACCATAGCGATTCTCACCAACCCAAAGGATCAAGAATATCAATCACCGTCTAAATGAGCCAGTTCTCCCCGCTGGCAGTTCCCTAATCACCCACGCGAATGACCACTTTAACCGCAAGAGCCCGAGCTTCCCTAATGCAGCACCCTAGACATGTCCGCCCAGTTCGACCGATGATGGCGTCGTAGCCAACAGAAGCGCACCATGATCTAGCCAATGCTTCCTTCTCAGCAGATCGACGAGCATCGACAACAAACACTTCGTCAACCGTCAGATCGAAGCCTGCATGCTCAAAAACCTTCGCTATCATTGATCCTTCGGGACCTGGCAAGGCATCTAGTGCAAGATATTTGTACCTGTATGAGCTCGGCAGTGGGTGGCCGGGAAGCCGCCCGTACCTGAGAGAGAAGGCTTCGGCGGCAGAGAGTGACTGCGACGTATCGCGCTTGTCGTCTTCGCTATCAAGTGACGCATTGTGCTGGTACGACGCTAACCCTGGAGGCAAACGGCACGCATGAGACGTCACAAAATTGACGTTATACGTTAATGGGAAGGAAACATCTGATGGGGCCGTGCTTGAGCCCGACCTCAGCGAGAAACTCATCGTTGCCTTGCGGGCCACCATTGCATGCTGGATTGAATTTCGCCGCCCTTCCTTTGTAGAAAAAGTCAAAGCATTAAACTTGACATCCACCGGTGACTTTGCATCAGGTAAATCGTCCACCGGCAAAGTAAACTCGCCACTGACCAAAGACCCCAGTCCCAGCGGTGTCGACTCCACGGAGATCTTGTTTCCTTGCTTGATCCGGGGTTTTCCCAGACCAGTTGGCGGCTCACTAACAATCACCTCAAACCAGGTATCGTCAAGGGGCTCATGAGTTTGATACTCTTTGGGAATGTTCGTGCTGCCAATCCAACCCATGCACGCCTTGGTTTCCTTCAGGGCGGAGAGTACTCGGCCAACAATGCATTCTTGACTCCACCAGCTCTTTCCATTGAGAGCAAATCCTCCATATAGATTGGCCACCGATCCGAGTCTTGCAATGGCTTTCGGATCATTCTCTAGTATTGTAGCCATGAGCAAGTGGTTGATCGCCTTGCCAGGAATCACAAAGCCAGAAAGCCAGCATCTCGTGATCCAACCACCTATCGTTGACTTGGGGTCGCTGGAAGGACCGCTGAGCGTTACTAAGCGGCGAGTAGCGAGTCTTTTGAACATGTCGTGTTTGGTGGTTCGTTCCGTATGGTCCTCCACTGAAGCATCACGCACAGGGCGGGTAAACATGTCGGTGATCTTTTGGTCCGAATTCCCGTGCCGTAATCTCGATGCGATAGTCTCTCTGAGCAAATCAACACGAGGCCAGCCGATGTTTTCGGCAAACGCCAAAAGCCCTTCAACTTGCTGTTCGATACGAGTTGGTGTAAGTTTGAATATCCCGTGAACGTCGGGGTGAGGTGAAGATGGCACAGGGTGCCTGCGTGTTATGCTATCAAAGAATGAAAAGCGACGAGCCTTGGGAGTCGACTTCTCCTGGGTTGACGCCTGCGACAGAGTATTCGACACTGCAGTGGATCGGCAATCGCCCCAGAAGATCTTGAAACTGTCGAAGAAGCGACGCACCACCACCAAGTCCCAGTCAACTTTAGGATTGCGTAGCTTATCGAAATGGTTCACATCTTGGGCCGAGACATTGACATCTTTCGAGCTCTCAACCAGCCCAACTTTGACAACGGCGTCCAGGCGAAGAAGTAGCTCCGCGGCGAGGAGCATCTGGATCAGAAACCATTTCTGTTCCAAGCCCGGGTAAGCCCAGGGCTTGTGAATGGTACTTGGATCAAAGAAGTCGGCGTCCACATGGGGAGGAGCTTCCCAGAGAAGCTGTCCGATGCGGAAACGCCACTCGACGAGACTGAAGTCGAACCATGCTCCTGGTGTCGCTAAAACCGTGGTCAACGCCTTGATCTCAGCCTTGAGGCCGTGCTGGCTGTCGAGATCCGTGAGCATGCATCGGGGTGGGTGATGAAGAAACTTGGTAAATAGATCGCTGTAGAGTGCATGCGCGCTTTCCACATCGAGTATCGTTTTCTGCGTGTTCTCATACAATAACTCGTGACGCAGGTCTCTCAAGGTCTCAAGACGGTCGACCAAGGCCTTGAAATCGATATCTCGCAGACCAATCCTTCTCCAGGCGGTCGGGCCATCGCCAAGAAGCAATTTTCGATCATGTATAGTACCATCGAGGCACTGCGAGTAGGGCTCATGGTAATGTTCCAGAAGTTCGTCAGCCTCAACTGCTGGTAGGGTATGAATGTGCAGTAGATCAGCCGGCAGATGGGGCTTTCCCGTGGGAACGAATCGAACCGAATCAGCCACTGGAAGCTCTAGAAAATGGCGAAAGCCCACAGTTCCCGGCTCGATCCCGCTCATAGCAAGCATGTTTGGGACTTCGAATACACCAATATCGAAAGTAGCTCTCTTTGGTGCACCGATTCGTTTCCAGCTGTCTAAGTTGAGAGGAGCGTCACCTTCAAGGTATCCTTCGGGGACGGGGAGATGGGCATGAAGGGTGCACACGGTATATGAAGGATGAGGAAGACGTTTTCTGTCCCATAGATGCTGAATCGTAGGGTCATGGTCATCCCATGGGAAGATTACTTGGGGATACCAGAGTCCATGTTTGCCCTTTTCTAGAAGGAAGTATGGTGCCCCGGAAAATATGGCATGAATATCATCTCTGTTGAGATGAGTCTCGGACGGAGACTTTTCGTGAACATGTGCCTTGTGAGATCTGGCAAGAGTGTCAGTGGTAGAATTTGACGCATCCTGCTGTTCGCTGTGATCGACCGAATGATGTGTATGTTTCGTTCTAGAAGAGGCCGAGGAGTGATCTTCTCTGCCTGAATTCTTTATCAACTGCGCATTCGGAGTCGTGGTAGATTTACCCTTGATAGAGAATTTAGTACACAGCCTTGGCCAGGAGCGCTACGAGTAAAGTAAACCTCACATTTTCGTGTTTCTCAATTGACGCGCGAGGTACATCCGTTGCCGACACATCTTCCGTTACTGGCGCAGCGCCACGTTTCTGGAAAAGGCTACGCAACGCGTTTCTGCCAGATGCGCTGTGATCGCGACTATTTTCCAGCGAGAAGGAAGCTCTCCTAGGCGAGCTCTCTGATACTTTGCTCGCGCCGGTATCAGAAGGCGTCGCATTCGAAACTGAACGACGCCTGCCAGATAATACATGCATCTTGGTCTAGGTCAATTCTCAGTATTGATGGGTATCAGGGGCACTTGCGAGTCGATGGATATTGACAGCTTGACGAGAAGAGGGGCATGAGGTTTCAGATTACTTACGCTAATGTTGGAGAGTGGCGGTTATGTTGTTTAATCCATCATAGCATCAGCAGAATCATGTAGAGATAAAAGGATCCTTATATAGTCCCAGTCATCTATGGAATATCGATAAGGAGTTTATAGCCTGGTGTCATGAAAAAATTCGACGAGACATGAACATGATGAATCAAATCGTACGATCCAATCTAGGTATAGCCACCTGATCGGCTAAAGACGTTGCGATGTTTTAAAACAAGACTAGAAATAGCAGCGACCATCCATCACTGTTTGGATAGAAGAAGGTCGCATAAAAAGAAGAAGAGACAAGACGAATATCAATCGATGCTTTGATGGCTTAACTGTTGCAAGGAGTTGAGAATGAGAAGTGGAGAGAGCCGCGGATAAACGATGACGTTCATTTTCAGGACCGAGTGGAGTATTCGGTGCCCCTTTCCGGATCTGGAAGTCCGGCTCTATAACAGCTCTGTTTACTGGCCACACGAGAGAATTATTGAAATTTAGTTACTATGGAAAGCATGATAGAAAAACTGTCATTTTAAATTATTCATCATTTTGTCTCGTCATTCATATATATTAGAGATACTAGCATTACGCCCTCCACCATAGCCCTGATCTTTTAAGCATGCTTCTGAAGGAAGCTCAAAACAGTCTTGTAACCTCTCTCGTACTCCTTGCGGACTTCTTCATCCTCAAGGTTCGACCGAGCCGCCATCCAGCCGTGGATCTGGGTAGGGAAAGTCTCCACATAATGGTCAACCTTAAGGTTGGCACCGAAAGCCTCGACGTCCTTGGGTTTCTCGTCCTTGGAAGCTAACATGGCCATGGGAATAGTGACATTCTTAGCGTCATTGGGATCAAGCATGGCGGGATGGCACTGCACCGCGGCCTTGAACTTAGTTTCCTCAGCAGAGGACAAGCATGCGATCTTTCCACCCCAGCAGTATCCGAGGATAGACCAGGACTCGAAGGCCTTGCCGTTGGGAGCGAGCTTGTTCGCTTCCCAGACGAAAGGTGGAATCTTAGGCAGGTTTGCTGGAGCAGCAGCCTTGGTTTGGAAGAAGTTGCCCAGCTTCTGCTTGTGTTCTTCGGTGTGAGGAGGGAACCAGCTGATGTCTGCGGGTTGGCCCTCGAAGAAATCGGGCATGAAGACACGGTATTTCTGCTCGCTCGAGGTAGCGAGGATATCGGCACCTTGAATTGTCTGAGGGAAGAAGCCGAAGATGTCTGTTTTTCCAAGTCACTCTTAGCTGGTTGTCTGTGGGCAGCGACGGATGGACCATTGGACGATTACCCACCGTAGACGATGAAGATGGCCTTGGAGGCAGATTCGGGACCAGTAACGTCTGAACATATGTCAGTGGCTCTTTTGCTTCCGGATCTATGTTCACAATTGACGTACATGTCTTCATTCTATTGATTGTTTTGTATTCACCTTTGCCCTGGTAGCCTTGGGCAACAATGGGGGGGATACTGAATGTGGTCAGTTTGAGGCCACTCTGCTATGACAACGCCAATTGCAAATCACGTACGAGCAGCAAGCCTTGCTAATGCCGGACATGTTGACTGATGAACAGTGGAGCGGTCTGAATGTGTTGAGGGAGCGAGGTTTCACGGATGTGAGGAATGACCTTCGGAGAGGGGTAGTTAGAAGCTGTCCGCAAGGCATGAAGGAATGGAGACGAGAGCAAACGCACAGTGATATAGCTCGGAACGGGTTCGCAATTGATGAAAGCAGTCGAGCACCGTGTTCAGAGACCAGAGAAAGAGGTAGAGGGTTGGTTCGGAGAGAGAATTGACGATCTGGTTGCTTTGCGTTTCCATCGACCCCGCTGAATCGACGTCATCGGAACGACACCCGGCAATTCCACGCTCTGTTTACCCACCTGCTCCTTTTGCTGTCTTTCCGACCGCGGCTACGGAGTACACATTCATTGGGTTCGTTCTTCGTCAAGAAAATGGACCACAGAAAGTCACAAAAGATACATGTACTCACAGAGATGTCAATAAATGGCTCTTCTCGTATTTATGTTGTGCAGGTTTCTGGTTCTGTTTGATCTCGAAGGTGGCTTTTCCACCGTCCACCGCAGGTAGTTCATTTGAATGAACATGGTCGTCGAAACACTCAACATCTAGGTCAACAGGACTAATGAGGCGGTCGGATATGAGAGCTCTAAGCTTCGAGGTTGAAGAGGTCCATGCTGCCGATGATGAATCTTTCCCCGCTCTGAGTATTGCCGATAATATATATCCGCGTCACATTTGAAAGCCAGCTGCCCTTCAAAGATGGCGCTTCTCCTATTCTCCGGGGACCTGGCTAGACGCTAATCTTGGCCAAAAAAATTGGCTCTCTTGATTATCTCGATTAATGAGGAATCATGAAGTGGCAATTGGGAGAAAGAAGATTCACCATTGTCGGCCCAGACTCATGCGCGAGCGCTGGGCGAGATATCTTCAGTCAACAGGTTCAAGCGTCGATAATGAGAAGTCAAACTTGACGGATGATAAGGCTTAGCCAGTGGCGAGAAAGCGAAACGAGCAGTATGCGCGCGCATATCGCATTGCGCAGGCTAGACGAGCACGTCTTATCTCCACCTTCTAACACGATCCTTGGCTCTCCAATTTGTACACAGGATGCTCGTCCACGAAGGCCACGCTCTGTGCGTCAAAGCTCTGGAGATAGGAAACTTCCACGACCCGTCGAGCATCATATATAGGTCGTCACGCAATTACTATCGGGGGTGGCATCTTTGCAATGGAGTCGATATATTATCCCTTCACAGGCTTTCTGTCAGGCCTACCGTGGCCCATAGAACTATCCTTCTCGATCATCAGGCTAGTAGTAATCGCCGGCGAATTCCATTTGCAGAAAAACTGCTGCGATGGCTTCAGAGCAACGCAGAAAGTGGTATCACATCAAGTGGTTTGCAGACGATGACACGAAAGAGGAACGGCAGCTGATTTTCAAGCTGGATCTTCTGATTGTTCCATATGCCTTTCTTGCGTACTGGACGAAGTATATAGACCAATCCAACATAAGTAGGTCATCAATGAGCCATACTGGAACTAGACTAATCCTACTCTCAGACAATGCTTATGTTTCGGGTCTTTCTGATGATCTGAACCTGCACGGTAATGCCCTCGTTCATCTGCAGACAATGTACACCGTGGGCGCGGTTCTGGGTCAAATCCCCTTCGCATATCTCTTCACCAAATTTCCAATGTCCTGGGTTATTCCAGCTTTGGATATTTCATGGGGCGTGTTTACGTTGCTGCAGTATCGAGCGACGTCGTACGGGGAGTTGATGGCTTACCGATTTCTTGTAGGATGGTTTGAGGTTTGAATCCTATCTATGATTCTCCTAAGGTCTCAACTGAGCAAGCCAGGCTGCATTCTTCCCGGGCATGCATTACATTTTCGGTAGGTAAACATGCAAGCCTTGAAAAAACGACAAACTCACATTTGCCGTCCAGGATCTTGGTACCGCGGGGATGAGATCGGCCGTAGAGGCGGTTGCTTTTATGTTGGTCTCACTCTCGGAACGTTGACATCGAGCTTAATACAAGCTGGCACATCGGCTAGGCTTGACGGCGTCCATGGCCTGGCAGGGTGGCGATGGATGTACATTATCTGTGCAATCATCACCATTCCCATTGGCTTGCTAGGATTTCTAATCTTACCCGGGACTCCTGACAAGCCGAATAGACTAGTTCTCAAAGAGGCAGATATCGATCTCGCCAAAAAGCGGCTTCAACGAGCAGGCCATGGTGTCCAGGAACATTTCCAATGGAAGGCGCTCTTGAACATTGGTCGCAATTGGAGATTTTGGGCTTTACTCCTACTGGATATTTTCTTCTGGAACGGAAGCGTCAACACCACTACAGGAGGTTATCTGCTCTGGCTGAAAAGTCTCAAGAAATTCTCGACCAGTCGCATCAACGAGCTCAACGCGATCTCTCCAGCATTGGGGATCTTCTATACCCTCTTCATTTGTTTCTCATCGGATCTTTTGTTCGGCCCTGCCTGGGCTATCACCATCGCACACACTTGGAACATCATCGGGCTGGTGATACTCGTCGTATGGGATGTTCCCCAGTCCGCGCTCTGGTTCGCATTTGCCACAACCTATTCTGCCGTCGCTATGTCCAGTGTGCTCTACGGGTGGGTTAACAGTCAACTGCGATACTCGCCTGTTGAACGAGCGGTGGCATTGATCATTTTGAATGCCGTCTCGCAATCAACGACCGCTTGGACGCCCTTGCTGGTGTTCAAGACTGTCGAGGCTCCTCGATTCACTAAAGGGTACTCGTTCGTACTCGGTAACGCCATATGCTTGATTATACTGGCTCATGTCATTCAGTTCTTCACGCGACGAGAGGAGTATGCACTCTGTCACACGTTCCTTGATTATTTCTAACAGCCTACAGGAGAAACCTGAAAAGAGCGGAAGGCGACTCCTACACCAGCGACTCAGACGAAACGAGGGACATTGAGCCTGGAGATCGACCAATCTTGCAGGTCTATCCGGAGAAGTAGATGCCCACGATGATATAATTTCTCAGTATAATAGAATAGAGATGGTAGATATGCAGCATGGAAATATGTATGACGGGTCGTATGTAGACGAACGATGAAACGCCACTGGATGCTGGGAAGATCACCCTGCAAACGTGATAATGCTATGAAACAGGAAATCTTCGCATCAATGATTTTTTTCGGGCGACTTAGACCGACTCACCCAATCTTATGTCACAACATCAACACATATGATGGGATCATCACCACCGCACGCGCAATGCTTATTAACCCACACACTGTAGGAGAAACTGCCTACACAGTCACGTACAGAAGCAGCCATTAAGCAGGTCGCGAATATTGTGGAGATAATGACGAATCATTTCGTGGAAATATCTCATAGCGGCTGTTCTCCGCGCGAGTCTTGCGTGATGATAACAAGCAATGGCGAATGGATGCGGGGTCATAGAAGCTATGTGTCTCCCATTGAAGAGGACGAGTGAAGGATTGTGTATATCTACTGTCAGCACGTTGGATCAGGAAGCTCAGAGTCGACAGAAACGCTCCAAATCTACAGTCAAAATGGGAGATAGCGCGGGTAGTGCACCCACTGGCCAGAACGGCAAAAAACACATTTTGCTGAATGCGTTTGATATGAGCACTGTGGGACACTTATCCCCCGGGCAATGGAAAGTAAGAACGTGAGCTGATTGCTTCCTCGGCTTGACTGACCTGAATCGTGCACAGAACCCGAACGATAAATCCGCCACGAAGCGCAGCCTTGAGTACTGGATTGAGCTGGCGAAGCTCCTCGAGCGGGGCGGAATCAACGCCCTGTTCCTGGCTGATACCTTTGGAGGACACGACACGTACCAGGGGAAGCTGGACGAGTGCATTCGCCGGGCAGCGCAATGGCCCGTGACTGATCCGTCGATTGTATGTCTTTGCCAATCCCGGAGAACAGTGTTTTGTGGGATGCTGATGTGACTACACAGCCCATTTCGGCCATGGCAGCAGTGACGAAGCATCTGACCTTCGCGATCACCTCATCGACCTCCTCGGAGGCCCCGTTCCTGCTGGCTAAGCGGTTCTCAACCCTGGACCATATGACGCAGGGCCGGTTCGGATGGAACATTGTGACCTCGTACAAGAAGGCGGCCTTCAAGGCCATCGGGCTGGACAGTCCCATTGAGCATGATGAGCGGTACCGGCAGGCGGACGAATACCTGCGCGTGCTGTACAAGTGTGTTATATCAACTGTGATTTGATGGATGAACGACAATGGCTGACGAGCACAGACTGTGGGAAGGCTCCTGGGCCTCGGACGCCGTCTCCCCGGACCCGGCGACAGACTCGTACATCGACCCGGACAAAGTGCGCACTATCAAGCACAAGGGGAAATACTACACGCTTGAGACGCCGCACATTGTCGACCCGTCCCCGCAGCGGACGCCCTTTCTCTTCCAGGCGGGCACGTCACCCGCGGGCTCGGCTTTTGCTGCCACGCACGCCGAGGCAATCTTCGTCTCGAGCCACTCGCCCGCGGTGCTGCGGCCCAAAGTCGATGGGATTCGCCAGCTGGCAGCGGAAAAGGGGCGGGATCCGCGCTCGATCAAGATCTTTGCGACGTTTACGCCCATCCTGGGCCGGACGGACGAGGAGGCCCAGGCCAAATACGAGGAGCTGAAGAAGTACGCGTCCGTGGTTGGGGGGCTGGTCCTCTTCAGCGGATGGACGGGCATCGATATCTCGCGGATCCCGCTCGACCAGGAGATCACGGCGGCGGACTCGGCCGAGGCGGGCCGGATCGCGAGTATCCTGGACGCGTTCACGACCACGAGCAAGGACATCCCGCGGTGGACGCCGCGAGTGGTGGCGGAGAAGGCGTCGATCGGCGGGCTGGGCCCCGTGGCGATTGGCAGCCCGGCGACCGTCGCGGATGAGATGGAGCGGTGGATCGCGGAGGCGGATCTGGACGGGTTCAACATCGGCCATGTGTCGACGCCGGGGACTTTTGAGGATGTGGTCGAGCTGCTGGTTCCGGAATTGAGGCGGCGAGGGCTGTACCCGGAGCAGCCGGCGCAGGAGGCGGAGGCCCTGACAGCGCGCGAGAGGGTGTACGGGAAGGGACAGAGGGGGCTGCGAGACGATCACCCGGGCAGTCGATACAAGTACGATGTATATGTGGATGATGCATGAGCATAGTACTCTTGTTGACGAGGTAGACTGCTCTAAGAGTGAACAGTCCGGTCGCAATATCGAGATGTTGTGCCTCAATCACCAGGTTCGAGATTAGGCAGATATCGTTCCAGGAATGTATACCGTTCGATACTCCATACTTGTGCAGATGTAGTGATTGTCCCTGTTGATCCGAGGGTGAGTCTAGAGTGGTCTCGACAATCCAGAATCTGCAGTTTGCAGGTTTACTGGCATTTACAAGTCTTTCTCTTCCTTCTTTCCATGCTTCTGCAGTACCTTGTCCTCGTTTATTCCACTCAAGATGAATGAATGATATCTGATCTCACGATCTCACCGAAAGCACTTAAAGGATGTATCTACAGGATATCACTATGCGTCAGACCCAGCAAATGATTCGAGCAAATGCAAAAACCAGTCCAGCCGCCTTCCGCGCTGTGACGCTGTTGCATTGCAACGATTCCCCCCGCTAGATCCTTGCATGATGCATGAGTCCCAGCTGGCCAGTCCACAGTCCACAGTGGACGAACCCTGGTTCGACAGGTTCTCAGAACACTTCTCTATATTCTATACGAAGGATACTACAGGTATAGATGATAATATCAGTTCTCGCGTATCATCTATTCCGTAGAGATGAAATTCCACTTTTCGTCAGATCCGACGTTGCTTAAGCCAGAGGAAATATAAATACATAAAGATACGTATGTATAACCAGAAATAAACTGGTTGTGACTGACCGTTGAACCCTGCAGGATAATAAACGCCAACTAACGATCGGAAAAGAGTTACGTCTACTATGGAGACACTACTGTGGACAAGCGTACACCGCGTACAGAGCACATTTCCTTGGTTTCTCAGATTGATATTCATATGTCGGAGCGACCGGCCGGTAACAGGTGTAAGTACGGAGTAGGTGTGACCGGCCGTAGCTTAAATCACCACCACTGGACTCTAGAGTAAAGCATAACTAGCTTTAGTCCTCTGATGGTGGTTTCTGCTAGGTGCTTGCTCCTTTGTCTACCTCGATTCCCAAGCGCTGTGATAGGTCCAAGCCGCGTGTTATGGGCTAGTGTGTTTGTACGTGCATACGACTACTGCTGGTAGCCTCGGTGGTCTGTACTGGCCGGCAGGATTGGGCATTTCCACGAGTAAATTGGGTATGTGATTGGTTATTTGATCCGTAGGAGGAAATCAGATCGCATCAGCTGGGGTATCAGCTATTCTAAGATCTGAATTAAGTGAGGACATGTGCATATATACAGAGTACAGATAGTCTGGAGGAAGGGGCTGTCGGTTAAAAATGGATATGAGAGGGGGGAACTCTGTACTCCGTACCTTGGGGAGCACGGAGCACTTCCTAGCAAGGTAGAGCTGCAATCCTCCGGCCGAAATGACAAGTCATTGCAGTAGCCTGATAATAAGTTTAGGGTCTAAAGTCAAGGGGTCAAGGGTCAAGGGCCAGAGACAAAGCAGTCTGACCTCGGATAATCCAAAACAGTCATCACTGATCACCAGTAACTCATCACTGCTGCTGAATACTAGGATGGATGTGGCGGTTGCACAGGGCACTGCACTGCTGCACATACATTGTTAAAAAGCCACAACAGCCTCAAGGCGTCAAGGTACTGGTAGGTACTTGAGACTTGGTAATGTTCAGGCCACCTGTCACACTGACCGTGGCAGCCACCCCGATCTCCCTCAACAACGCCCCCGACTCCGACAGATTGGTGCTCCCGGCAGTTACTCATGGGGCTTAGCCTCATGGGCCACCCGTATTCCTATCTCCTAGTAGCTAGTCCGTAAGAAATGCAAAGTTATGATTTAGGTTCAGCTGAACTCTAATAACGTGTTTGCTCAATCCACAAGATAACTCGTGTCTCAAGTACGGATTAAATCAAATAATAAATAAGAACTCTGTCAACGTATCGGTGTCCGTTCAAGCTAACTGAATTAATCCTAGGCACCGGACAAAGAGGCTAAGAGGCTAGTCTAGAGCTTGAGCTAAGAGGCCCGAGGTCAGATTCCCAAGCTCTGATTCGCTCAGTTCACGGCTGCGTCTGTGTGAACCATGGTTACTACCTTGTGGTCACCGGGATGAAGGCTGGGGCTAATCATGTGACTGATTGTCTTCCTTTTTTTCTTTTCTGTCTCTGGTTCGACCAGCAACCGTTATCCAGACTATCTGCATCAAATCAACTACTTCACTGGTTGGATACTTTATTTTCCTGTCTACATACGGAGTAAAATGAAGAGGAAAAGAAGAAAGTCAATATTCAATAATGTGTGTCAAAACTTAGCAAAAGCAAGCGAGTGGACAGACCAACTGCTGCAGGCTGCAGGCCGACAGGCAGAGTAAGTCTGTGGGTCCCTGTGAGCTAGTTCTGGATGCACTAGCGCCAGAATGGATTAGTCTGCAACTCTAGGAACGGGTAGTGAGATTTGGCTGAAAGGGCCCAGGCAATCTGGCTGGGCAGAGAAAAGTCCGTTTCTCTGGCGCGCTCGCTTGAGGCTACCAAGATTGTCATGAAGCCAGTCAGGTGCTTGGCATCCTCGTATTATTGCCCTACGTATTAGGATGGAGTAAGTCTGCATTGCTTATTGTCGATGTCTTTATGGTAGTCCGTCCAGTGGTGGTGTTATCTCAGGTGACACACCGAACCTCGGGTGATGCCGCGTGGACATACGTAACCAATCAGATGGGACCATCCCTCATCCAAAAGTAGGCGAACCAGACTCGGGGATTCGTTTGCCTTGGACATTTGTCCTCCATGATCTGGTCAAAGACAGAAGATGGTGATGACGGTGATGCACCAGACTTTCGCAATCTTAGGAGAAATCCTTGGTCGCGCAATGAGCTGGAATTATCGACCGCAATCCAGAGCATTCTTCCGGTGGGCTAATTAAACATGGTCGGAATGATGGTATTCCACTGGGCCATGCACACAAGTCCGCCACTTAGAAAAGCAGGATGACATTCTGCCTCAGCTTTGCGGAGTAGTATGAACGAGACGACGATTGCCTTTTCATTTGGATCCTAATGATTACTGATGACTTGATTTCCATGACGAAGCAATTGATTTGGCTCACTTCCATGCCCTCAAGTACTGTCAATCTGGGCTCTTGACGCAAGGAGCATCGCCCCCTTTTCACCCGTCTGTATCTTACCGTACATAGGTACCCGAGTGGTAATCTCATACTGTGAGTGTGTCGCTGTCAGTGCCCGTGTCTTTTGCTTTTTCCCTCCTGAAGGCTGAGAGAATCCAGTAGCTTCAGAGCTGATCTTCAGAATCGTACCTTTACTCTAGATCCAAGTACATACAGTCTTGCAATCGATCGTCCATCGCTGCTAAGCTTATTCTCTGCTCCACCATACAGGAGACTTGAGCAACATCCCCCCTGCTGGTCGTGGTCCGGTGGCCATCCGATCGTCGACAGCTGCTCCACATATCTGGTACTTTGGTTTAGGCTTACAGATTTACAGTACGGAGTACGGAAGGACTCTGGGTTGTTTTGTCCAAGGGCTTGCCCATACAACAGAGAACGCGATCCTTCAACGACGACCTCGTACTTCTTGTTTTCTACTGGCGATTGATGCTTATTGGCCAATCATCGTAGGGTGGTCTCTTCGATCGATGTGGTCGCACCGCACGAGAATAATACCAGATTACCCAGATACCTTACGGACACTCCTCCGTAGAGCCGTGGAATGATCAACAATGGGGCAAATTGAGTGGCACTGGTCACTGCTAGTCTCCAGTCTAGTCTAGGTACTGTTAACCTGGTTGCTGGTTCGTTTGTGGCCATCTCCTGGGGATTTGACTTGGAGAGCCCTGTCAACCACGTTGCTGATGATCGGTCCCAGTCCCCTCTTTAACTGGAGGACGATTATTATTAGCCAGGAGATATCTCCTTTCGACCTATCTATCTCTGTGTCTATTCTTATTCCTTGTGATAGTGCCTACTTTCTTTTTCCTACAAACACATATCTTCCCCTATTCATTTGCTCGAGGACGCATCATTCTCAGCTGAAGTACACTCTCGACGCAAACCCTGAAATAATCAATTTGGTCTCCTTACCAGACCCCTTAGGCTAGCTTTTCCAGGTAAACCTCATTCTTTCGTTTTTCTCGCCTCTATTTTAGTTTTTCCGTTGACCCTTTTTATTTTTTATTTTTTTTTCTTTGGTCATATTTTTTTTTTTTTCCTTTTCGTTATCCATATTTTTACACACCCCGAATTACGGAGGAATTAATATTATTATTTTTTCGCACTTGACCCTTTCCAGACGACCACCCAAAATTTCCCGCCCGAAATTCCTCCCCTGCGCTGGCCAGACCCAGGCCCGTCGCTGGTTTTGGCCGTAGAGTGGTCTGGATACTCGCGCTCTTTGGGTTTGGTTTTGTTGTTGTTGCTTGTTCTTCTTCATTTATTATTTGGTCTGGTCTGTCTGTCAGATTTGGTCTTGTATTTTATTTTATTTTATTTTATTCCCAATTGCTGGCTGTTATTATCCACTACCTTATATTATTCTTGTTATTATTATTACTGGCGCTGGCTCTGCCTCTTCGTTTCTTCCTTTCCTCTCTTCCACTCTTGACTGTCTATCAGTGCCATCCGTGCCCTCCCATTAATCCCACGATCCGATCACTTTCATCGGTTGCCATCACCATCACTCACCACCCCAGTCTCATCGCCACACGATCATCATCACCAACGATCGTCTTTCTGCCATCTGCTGACTCCCTGTCTGATCCATCGTCATCAGGAATCGAGTCCATTCGCGCATTCTCGATCGCTAATTATCACCAAAGATAGACTTGACCGCCGTCGTATTCCTCTGATCGCGCGGTCGGCTTTGTCAAGACAATGCATGTCTCTGACGCCTGGTGAATTTCAAAATACCATCAGCTCCATTGCCTCTACATCCAATATCTGCTCTGCGCATTTTCAGGCTTGCGCTGTACAGTCTTCACTTGATACAAGAGGTCAGAGTATGTCCTCGGTATAAGCTTTGGGTGACCCTGAACATCAGTCGGGTACACTATCACATCGGTCCAACTTTCCAAGACCAGGAACGAGAGAGCGAACGGGACTCTCGACCCAACCGAGACGGGCCGTCAATATAAGAATCGATATCTACTTGACGCCAAATCTCGATTCTTAAAAGCGATCGCTCTCGCGCGATCCGCTCGCCCCTCCTGGATCCTCCAGACATCGTCTCTGGTGCCCTGTCTGGCAGTCGATTCTGGGCTGTTGGAGACGACAACGGATTGTCCTCCATTTTGCCCCATCCTCCGGCCGCGGACTCGACGGCCGAGCTGTACCAACCAATCGCCTTTTCTCGAGACACCTCCGCCAACCTGGCTGCTCTCGCGATCCCTCCGCCCGGCATGGGGACGGCGTTGGGCGACTTGAATGCCCCGCCGCCGTTGAACGCACGGCGGCCGGCGGCGCCCACGCTCCCCAGCTTTGAGCTGCCCCCGCCGAACTTTCAAATCAATGTCGGGACCCCCAAGTATCCGCTTCAGTCGAATGCGCACCCTCCCACCCATCCCAGCGTGAACAGTCTGTTGACACCGCCAGCATCGACTCAGGCCGGTGAGGTGACCGCTCCGAGCACGGCCGGGCCAACGACCACCGTGTCTGCGTCCCCGGACGTCACTCCCTCGTATGGAACGGCGTATTGGCCGGGACACAGTGGCTATGGAAGCACTCCTGGCGGCGCTGCGCCGCGGCAACCGTGGAGTGCGGGAACCAACCAGTCATATTCGACGCGGGACTCGTTTTCACCGTCGACATTACACCCACTGAGCCGAAATCTACCGACGTCTCCTCCCGTGACCGAAGGCATGGCACAGCCATACGACATGCACCACCTCCCTCCGTTCCACCAATCACTTTCCGTCCCCCCGTCAGGCCTGGCGACCGCAACACCGCACCACCCCGCCATGACGCACGCCATGTTGGCCAGTCCCACGGGATTGCCCAACCCGGGGCCGTCTCCGCACCTCCTCCCCTCGAATGATCCCTACGGACCCAAATCGCAGTCGGCGCCCGTTTACGGTACAGCACAGCAGATGCCCAGCCCGCACCAGAGCAGTTACCCGCCGTACGGACAGCCGGGGCTCGGCATCCATCCGCCGGTTCGCGTCTCGTCCACTCCTACCCTCTCGGCCTCAGGGCCACCACCTCCCCTGAACTATTCGCGCCAGCCCTGGCCGTCGTACTCGCTCCCGGCGATGAACGGGCCGGTGATGACGAACATCCACAGCCCGAACGGCCAGATGTCGTTGCTGGGCAGCATGCAGCCGGGCATTCTCCCGGGCTTCAACAGTGGCCACGTGGCCAGCATGCAGCAGATGTACGGCGGGCATCCGCCACACCCCATCCACCAGCCGGGGCCGACCAACGACCGGCCGTTCAAGTGCGATCAGTGTCCGCAAAGCTTCAACCGGAATCACGACCTGAAGCGACACAAGCGCATTCATCTGTCGGTGAAGCCGTTTCCATGTACGCATTGCGACAAGAGTTTTTCCCGCAAGGATGCATTGAAGGTACCTCCCCGCTATCTTTTTTTTGTCATTTCTGTTCTTGCACTGACTCTCTTTAGCGACATATTCTGGTCAAAGGATGCGGCAAGGACGGGTCGGACGGGTCGAATAAGACGAGCACGGCGAGTGTCAAGGAGGAGGACAAGGAGAGCGTCGATACCAATGGGCACAGCTGATCAGTTTTCTACGAGCATTGTTCTCAAGGCGTTGGTTGAGTAGGGGACTAGCGATGATTTCGAGTTTGTCTTCCATCTCTATCCATTTCTATCCATCTATCTATTGTTGTTGAACGAGGCTATGGCGAATGTTGATATTATTGCGTACGGAGCGGCTTCTTTGCACCTAACTCCTTGGTATGGGTTTGGATGGTTATAGCGTTGACTGTGTAGATTACTCTTGTTCCTATTCCTATTCCTATTCCTGATTCACTTATTCACATTATTCACATCACTGAGACAATTGCTATTAGTCTGAGTCAATGGCACCACGCTCTGTCAGGCTAACAAAGAGCAGTCAGACTAGTGCCTCAGCAGATGAATATCAACAAAGAGCAGTGTCGGACTAGTGCCCCAGCAAATGAATACTAGATGATAAATACCTGGCAACAACAAAGATACTATCCTCACATCAAACCTCTGCAAACCTCTACAATGTTCCTCCTCCTGATTTTTCTTTCCTTGGTCCTCGCCCACCTGCCCCTCGTCTCGTTCTATAACATCACCATCCCTCAAGCCCCATCCCCCGACCTCAGCACCGCCACCTTCACCACCCCCTCCAACCTCCTATCAATCCTCTCCGAACCCAAGGTCCGCCCCATCAACACCACCGTCTTCGACTGGTGGTACTTTGACGCCGTCTCCTCTTCGACTCCGAATGTTTCCATCGTCGTCACCCTCTTCACCAGCACACCTACGGCGTTTCCATTCCTCCGCCCAGCAATGCCTCCTCCTCCTCCGTCCTCCTCGCCTACCTCTGGATCTCCTTCGCCAACGGGACGAGCTACGCTGCGTTCGCGGATGCATCCCTCGCGACGGTCGATGCAGCCGGGGTTGTGATTCGGGGAGTATGGCACTGGAGTGGGTTTTCCTGGACTGGATCCGAGGAGGGGAAGTATGAGATTGTTATTGATGGAGCAGGGGTGAATGGATCGATGAGGTTATCTTCTGTTCGTCATCTCCCCTCCACCGAGGATAAGCCAAAGCTGAAGCTTTTTGGCTAATGGGTGTAGGTAGCGAACCCGCATACACCCTGCGGCGACGACCGGCTGCGTCTGGGTGGTGGGAGAACGGTTGGGATCGGGTGGGCCAGTCTCCTCCCTGATGCGCAGGCGAGTGTCGATGTTTTGGTGAAGGGAGAGAGAGTGCAGTTTACCGGGTTTGGGTATCATGATAAGGTAATATTTGCCATTCAGTCCGTTTGAGTGTGGATGTGTAAGGTGAGGGCGACCGGCTAACTGACGAAAGAACTGGTCGGATGGACCGTTTGAGGCGGCGGTGCGGACGTGGTACTGGGGTCGCGGCCGGGTGGGCCCGTACTCTGTTGTTTGGTTTGAGATGCTTCCTCTTGGGGAGAAAGACGTCGTGGTGAGTGGGTATGTGGCTATTGGACGGGAGGTTGTGGTGTCTAGTTGTGAGGAGGGGGTCGTGTCGGTACGGCCGACGCGGAATGGGATGGCGGAGAAGTACCCCCCGGTGCTTGGCGATGTACCGGATGGGTTCCGGGTGGTTTATAGCATGGGACTGGAGGTGAATGTCACACTTGGGCCGATGGTCGCTGGGGATGGGAAGTACTATGCCCGGTGGACGGGGACGATGACGGCCGCGGTGGAGGGCGAGCTGTACGAGGGGGTGGGCATATTCGAGCAGTTTGTTATGCAGTAATCATCATCAAAAAAAAGAGTAGCTATAAAGCTAAAGAAAAGTATGGGGTATCAGTCACGAGAATTGCTGGCCATCCACTCCTCCACCAACCCCCGATAATCCTCCATGCCATACGGACTCAACACCCTGCCCAAGGCACCGCTCTTCCGCACACTCCTCGCCCCCAGATCCTTCAGCAGCAAATCCACATACGGAATCGCATCAAACACAAAGTCCGGGTTCCGCTTCCCGAATCCCCCCGGATACCGCCACTTGCCAAACTGGCTATGCAGCGCCGTCTCCCAGACCAGATCCAAGTCCTCGCGCTGATCCACCAGCTTCTCGGCATCTGCGTCCTCGTCGACAGCCCGCACAGCAGGCGGACACCGCTCCGTCGGCCGGAGAACAGGCTCCCCCCCGAAGAACGCCGTGATCCACAGCGCTTGCGCCTGCGCAACCAGCGTCGTGTTGATCGTCATAGTAATCCCCATAAACGCCAGGGAGCGCTCCCGCGCCAGCGAACACGGCACCATGAACCGGGCCAGGCGGAAGGGGTGCGCGGCCGCAGCGGGGGCGTCGGGCGCGAGCGGCGCGTAGTCCTTGGGCGGGGCGGGCTGGTCGCGCAGCCGGGGGAACCGGCGGAGGATTTCTTTGTCGGCGGCGGCGAGGAGGTCCTCCGGGATGGGGTCCGCGGCCCAGGGGAAGCCGCAGTCGGTGTCCAGGCCGGCCGGCAGGAACTCGAGGTTTGGGGTGGCTTTCCAGCCGGTGGAGCAGATGAGGGCGGAGGAGGGTAGGTCGGTGCCGGAGGAGAGGTGGACGGTTCCCTGGGAAAGGCGGGTGATGTTGGCGATGTGGATGCGCACGGCGCCGGAGCGGACCAGGTCGAAGAAATCGGTTGGGTAGTTGAGGATGCTGAGGCTGGCGGCGATCCAGAAGGGGCTGATCCAGGGCTTGAGCTTGGCGGTCTCCGGGTGGGCGTCGTAGCGGTTCAGCTGGATGACGTCGTTGGCGAGGATGGCCCAGAAGGCGTCGACGATCTTGCGGCCGAGCCAGGTGCCGTGCAGGAAGCGGCGGATGCGCGGGTAGCCGTCGGCGTGGCCCCAGATGCAGGGGCTGAAGAAGGTCAGGAGGCGCGTGGTGACCAGCTTCTCGAGCCATTTCTTCAGCGGGGTGACGTACGGCGGCGCCATCCAGACGGGGCCGTGGCCGTTCTCGCGGATCACCCAGTCGACCTGCGCGCCGGCCGTGGCGGCCGAGTAGACGGCGTCCCAGGCGGATTTGGTGCCGCCGAAGACGGTGATGCGCCGGCCTTCTTGGAGAACCTCGGCCTCGTGCTGGAGGAGGTCGCGGCAGTGGAAGAGCGGCGCGTCAAAGGTCTCCTGGCCGGGGAAGGTGGGCAGGTAGGCCTGCGAGGTGATGCCGGTCGCGACGATGAGTTTGCGCGTGACCATCTCGGTCACTTTGTCGTCTGCCTGCTCATCGGTACGGACTGTAGTCAACAGCCATGTACCGTCCGGACGGTGTTCAGCCGATCGCACGCGCGTGTTGAGCCGGACGCGGTCGCGAAACTGAAAACGCTCGGCGAATTTCTCCATGTACTGCTGAATGATCTGGCCGGGGATATGCTCGCCCGGCTGGACGCCAAAGGTCTCGGGGTCCATGGGGAAATCGCTGAATTCGTAGGTGCCCAGCATGTTGTTGGACTTGAGGCCGTTGTACAGCCGGTGTTTGGCCCACACGCCCCCAATGGACGAGGCTGCCTCCAGAAGGACCACATTGCTGGACGGGTTGACCTGGAGATAGGTCTTGATGGCCGCGAGACCACTCCAGCCTGAGTCGTTAGTATCTGAGAATCAAATTCAAGAGGAAGAGCATACCGGCACCGATGACCGTCAAATCGACTGTCTCCATGATGTGGGACAAACACTCAATAGACAGTTCACAAAATCAATCAATTGGAGGCAACTGCCGCGTCAATTGCTGCAAGTAAGAAAAGGCAAAGAAGCAGAAAGTGATGTGTGGATGAGGAGTCAGGCAATCACACAGGGAAGGTGGATAAAAGAACGACAGGTGGACACAAAGAGGGTCTGGACTTTTTTATTATTAGTCTCCTATAGGCAGGGGTTGTGCATGGTTGTGCAGCAGAGACTGCAGAGTCTGGGAGTCCTGCTAGGAGAGACTACGGATACATCGCTGCATGAATGAAAGGAAACGGTCAGTGCGGAATTCTTGCTAGCCGCCGCTAGACTGGAGTCACTCGACTAGTGATAATGACAACAGTGGCTACTGACTAGGGATAGGAAGATTATATGTGGAGAAACTAGAGATAGACAGAGCATTGACCTGTGGAGTAAAGTATGGTGGTACAGCATACTCGAATAATCAGTCAATTCCATGTCTAGCATGGTTGCACTTACACGGCCGTAGTACTGCAAGGTACAAGGGAAGAAAGGGATAGGCACAGACCAGTGCACAGATGGACATGAACCTGTTATGTGTGCACAAAGACAGCACGTACTTTGAGAATGTCCACCAGACAATCCTTACTGGACTGGAATTAGTGTGCTCCTAGTGCTTTTAGTTGCGTAACGGCCCCTCTTCGTGCCTGTAGGTGACACTTGTCAGATCAGCGCATCAACGGGTAACTTGATGAAGAAAAGTAACTCAAATTGTGATCATCAGGAAGAAGATTCCATTTCTCTCAATTGCAGAGGACATCGATAGTTAACACTTGTTGTCTAGTTACATAATTAGAACCTGCTTGCGGTAATTCACGTGGTTATCAGACATTTAGGCATGTCATATCATATCATATCATATCATATAGGGGCCTCGGTCGATGCAAACAAGGTTACAAGACTCAGGACCCATAGTTAACGGTTGCTTCTTTGAGTCGACAGGGGTCATTGGCTGATTTTCATGACAATTGACCGACGCTAAAGCTGACGAAAAATGGTTCTTCTTCTTTGTTCTCCTAAAATGACCTGTCACTTTTGCATCAAACATGGCAGAATATGACACCTCGACTTGATTAGACTCCAGGACACTGACATTCAATGCGAGCAGATCAGAGGTACAACGTCTATCTATTTCAAATCTCTGCAAGGGGTTCCTCATCTGACCACGCTTGGCTCTCCTCCTCGAGGAATTGCCTCGTTTCTAGCAGGTGCTCCTAAATTCTCCGTCATGGCAGTGCTTCTACTCAGAGGGCTCCTCTGCTACCTCTTCGGTGCAGTCGAGTGACAATCTTAGTGCTGTCACTTTGCTGATGCTCCATATCCCCCGCCGATCCTCATTCACCAGGAACCGGATTGGTCTTGATGACAGAAGAACAGCTGCCGCGTCTCCACATAGCCTCTGACCGGGATCATGGTGTGTCTCAAGTGGCCAGAGCATGGACAACCGTTCTCGACCTCATCCTGAACAGTGGATAAGTTGTGGACACCAGTAATATGGCAAGAGATAGGTGTTTGTTTTCCCCCCGCCGAGTGATTGCTCGCCGATTCCTGCCAGGGTTTTTTGTTTTGCAGGACTCAAAGTTCTGTCAATCAAGGAAGTCGTTCAGCCTTGCAAGTAGTCTTTCTTACACGTCGGCTGTGGCGGAATCATCGGGATTTGACTGTTGCTGTGCTGGATCTATATCTTTCTATATTTCTCTTCCTCCCGAGGAGCGGTCCTCAGTCTTCAGTCATTCATTCATTGTCATCTTACAGACATCCATTTCTCTTGTCCATCCAGACAGCTGAGACAGCCCATGGGCCATCATGGCCGACAGCTTCACCACTGAGGCCTTTACCCTCCTTGCCCTCGCCATCGTTGTCATTATCCTTCGCATCATCGCTCGCATCTCCACCGTGGGACTTCACAATTTCCAGCTCGATGATTACCTGATGCCTCTGGCCGGAGTATGTCCTATGTCACTCCTTTACTAACATCTACTGACATGACTGATGCAGGTGGTCTACGGCCTCGAAACAGGCGCCGCCTACTGCGTCGGTGCCTGGTGGAAAGGATTGGCCAACAACTTCATGACCGACGCTCAGCGTGCCGCCCTCTCGCCCGACTCGGAGGAATTCAGACTGCGGATAGGCGGATCCAAGACGCAGGTGCTGGGCTGGTCGTTGTACACGACCTTGCTGTGGTTGTTGAAAGCCTGTATGGCCATCTTCTACTCACGCTTGACGTATGTCTCCGCTACTTTTTTTATGGGATAGACACTGACGCTGACGGATCAGGGCCGGCTTGATCAATATGCATATCCGGGTACGGGTGGCCTACGTTGCCATCGGGGTGACCTATCTGACTGTGATCTTGTCGATCCTGTGTGGCTGCTATCCCATGCAGAAGAATTGGCAGATATACCCTGATCCTGGCAGTATGTGCCTCCTCTCTCGGATGTTACTCAGCTGACATGTCAGTACGCTGCCAACCCGCCATTTCGCCGATTGATGTCTACGTGACGGTCACGCTGAATGTCGCAACGGATGTATATCTCATTAGCATTCCTACACCGGTACGTGCGTTTTGTCCCTGTGCCCACACCGATGGCTAAGATCCATAGATGCTCTTCAAAGCGCGGCTCCCCTGGCGCGAGAAACTCGAACTCTTCGTCCTCTTCTCCGGCGGAATCTTCGTCATGGCGGCCGGAATCCTCCGCTGCGTCTTGATTGTCACGGTAAGTCTTTTGCCCTAGTTCTATGACTTGGCTAAAAATCAAGTTAGGCCGGCGCAGACGGTGCCTCCCAGGCCGGCAGCTGGGCCTGCCGCGAGACTTTCGTCGCCGTCGTCATCGGCAACGCCCCCATGATCTACCCCTTGTTCCGCCGGGCCGCCCGCCGCGCAGGCTGGTACATCAGTTCCCGCGGCCATTCGCAGAGCTACCCGGCCTATCCACTGTCCGAAGGCGAGCTTCGCGAGCACTCGACACACCACAGCAAACACAGCAAGAAGCGCCGCTTCCGGCACCCGCTCAGCATCCCGGACACGCATTGGCATACCATCAACGACGAGGCAATGATCCTGCCGACGTCGCGGCAGCAGCCGCCTACCTGTACGGCCAGCCCGGGCGGCGACTGGGACGACTCAAGCCGGCCCAGCACGGAGGGGATCAAGGTGGTGCATGAGACGATTATTGAACGGAATGAGCGTTAACCGGTCAGTACGTAATGTTATGGATGTCGGATGTTTGTATATATAGAGCCACGAAAAAAAGTCAATAATCATAGTTCCTCCGATAATAATTCTTGCTCCTCATCTCCACCTCCTGCTCCACGTGCGGAACCAACACCTCGTCCCGGACCAGCGACGCCTTGACCGGATTCCTCGACTGGAAGATAGCAGTCAGCTCCTCGAGCGTGCGCCGCGACGTCTCCACAAACAAGAACCAAATCACCACCAGCTCCAGCACATCCCAGAAGATAAACAGCAGGTAATACTTCCACCCGGCCCTCGTAAACGCAATCCCCGTCACAAACGTATTGTAGAAGTTGGCGATGTTGATGAAGAAATTGCTCATCCCCATCCCCTTCGCCCGCGACTCGTACCGCAGACACTCGACGGGGTACATGGCCTGATTGGGCGTCCAGCCGGCCGAGTACACGAACCCAAAGAGGAAGATCATGGCGATCTGCGCGCGCGCCACCACCGCGCTCTTGGCGATGACGGCGCCGCTGCCCTCGTGCGTCTCCACATTTGTGGCGTTCAGCGCCGTGATGATGCTGAAGATGAGGACCATCAGTCCGGTCGACGTGAGCAGCTGCGCGCGCCGCCCTATCCGATCGGTGAGCAGGGCGCCGAAAATGGCGCCCACGAACTGGCAGACGTTCTGCAGGCCTTGCAGCAGCAGTTGCGTCGAGTTGGAGGTGATCCCTGCGCCGGCCAGCATCTGCGGGTAGTAGTACGAGACGGGGCCGTTGCCGGACCATTGCCCGAAGAAAGCTACCCACTTGCTCAGCTTTTGTCTGATTGATTGTGGATGAGGGGAGGGAGGAGGGGGGATGAAGGTACCTGTGAGCATAACCAGCAGAGAGCGGTAGCGCGTCTCGCGCGAATTGAACAGCTCGCGGTAATCCCACCAGCGCTTGTCGGCGCCCGTGTTGGAGATATCCTCGACCATCTCGCGATACTCGAGCTGCACGAGCGGGGCGTTACGGTCGCCGTCGCCGTGGTACGTCGCCAGCACGCGGATGGCTTCCTCGTGCTTGTCGCGAGACACAAGCCACCGGGGGCTCTGCATCACATCACCATTTGCGTCTGTATAGACAGAGGGAGAAGGGAAAATACCTCGGGAATGGTCCAGCAGAGCCCCAGCACCAAACCGGCAAACACCATCTGTACCCACACCGGGATCCGCCAGCTCATCGTCCCCTCGATCATGCTCGTGCGCCAGGGTATAAACGTCCCCGGGATGCCGCCGGCGAACCACAGCACGTTGTACAAGCCCGTCAGGGAGCCGCGCCACGACGGGTGCGCGATCTCGGAGACGTAGGCTGGGCCGGCGGTGGCGGAGGTCGCGACCCCGAAGCCGAGGATGAAGCGGCCGGCCATGAAGCCGGCGAGGTTGATGCAGGTTGCTTGAACGATGGTGCCGATGATGATGAAGAAGGCGCCGAGTGCCATGCCGACGCGTCGTCCTGTGTGCAGCCGTTAACGTGATATCAGCTGGTGAAAGAGACAGGGTAAATTACCCCCAAAATCGGTGAACGGCCCGGCGCAGAACGATCCCACGAGGTTCCCGATGGTGTAGATGGCGTACACGATCCCCGTCGAGGGCGTGCCGGCTTCCGGGTCGAAGCCAAAGTACTCTCGGTACTGTCTGTAGCTGTTGATGGAGCCCATCAGCGAGCCGTCGTACCCGTTGATGCACGAGTTGAGCGTGGCGACCGCAATGGCCCAGTATAACTGATCCTTAGTTTTGCGATGAAGCAACAGGAAGAGGGCTGTACCTTGAACATGTTTTTGCTCCAGAGTTTCGGCTTCTGCTGGAAGGTCGCCATCGCCAGGGCGCCATTGTTGATGCCCCGGATGTAGGCGTCATCCGGGTAGTACAGCATCTGCGCTGTGTCGTGGCTATTGAGTCGCTCCATGATAGGTCTTAGACGACCGGAGTCTGCTAGGCAGAGGCTGGATGGAGGGTGTGCCTCACTTAATGTATCCTGGAACTCGATCTAGATCGTCTGAACAGGGATTCTCGGCTATAGCCTGAGCCAGGCCTATCTAGGTGACAACTGACAAGTGACATCAAGACTGTAGTCCGTTCCTGACATGGTGGAAATTAAGACTAATAGACCCTGTCTGACTGAAGTGTCGACGAATGGTATATTGACGGGGATATTGCCATGTTGGTTGTCACTCCAGTGCCAATTGTGCCATATACCGAGCATGAGACAGCATCAAGTCTTGGAGTGTTTGATCTATACGAGGTCCGGGGACCCCGCATTGAGTGTCCCAGTCTCTTACAACAAATTCAGGCTGTGGATGAATTCATCCGTCTCCAATTGGGAAACATTAGTGGTTTAGTCGGACATGACACGGTCAATGCGTGGACTTGAGCCACATGGTGGGGAGAGACGCACTAGAATCGACTTCAATCTCTTGACAGAATATACGTAATTGAATGAATCTAGGGAACCTCGTGGAAGTATTAATTACAACGCCACATCAACAAGCGAACGCTTGGAGAGGACGCTTGGATCCTGTCTATCTACAGTTGGATGCTTCGCTTAACAACTAACTCCAACCAACACGGGCGTCGGTCCGAACACCCGCTTCGCTCAGCCTTGCTCTTATCGTCCTCTTGACTCTTTCTGAAGTATTCTGTATTATCATTCTGGTAGGAATTTTCGTGTTATTCAAATACCTCTTGCAAGGTGCCACATACTCTGCTGCCATACAATCTTGACCACAAACTCCACTCCGCACAGGGTCCCGTCGTGTTTCAGACATGCTGCTAGAGTAAAGATCGACTGCTGGGCATGCTGGAGGGGCAGATTATCCACCAATATTGACCGGGATTCTTCCGTTTCCTGATCTCACGGACTATCCCGGTGATATGGCCAGTTGGATGAGTCTGAGACCGAGACTAATGCACATCAGCCGCCACGTACGACTCAGTTGGAGGACAGGCTGACTGGCTGAGACATCCATCGATTGCCGTGCTGGACGATGCAGGTACGGTCCTTCTCAATGCTCAATGCAGTACAGAAAAACTGGTATCATTCATCTATCATAATATACATAGTCCGTACATAAATACATACAAGGCCACATCAACAAGCCATCGCCTCAAAGATTTCCCTCCTCTCCTGCGGCGTAATTGACAAACTCAACGTATAATACCTCCCCTGAATCAACTCCGACTCCCCCCTCGGCTCGCCCGCCAACACCAACCTCGTCCCCCCAGCATAGGGCACCGCAAACCAAACCGGCTCCCCGTGCCGATCCGCCCCCTCCCAGTACTCCATGTTACACGACATGCTACTCCCATACAGCAGCGGATTGAACCCATTACACACCGCCTCAGGGATATGCAGCACGTCCTCCAGCACGATAACATGCGAGCTGGCGCCCCCGTCCCGCACCGTCCGGCACACGCGCAGCTCGACCGTCCCTACCCCGGCAACCTCCAGCTCGTCCTGCGGATTGAAGATGTTGTTCTTGATACAGGTTCGGCGCGGTATCGCCCGGTAGTGTGTGAATGATGCGCGGTCGCGCGCGTAGTGGCAGTTCCCCGAGACGATCATCCAGTCGTAGCAGATGCGGGACGCGGCGTGCGTCGTTTTGGTCCGTTTGCGCCGGTCGTCGGTCGCGTCGGCGGCGGCGTCGAGATCGAGAGTGATTTCGTCGTGGCTGCGCATGGTCCTCTGCTGTGCTGCTGCTGCTGCGACGGTAGATGTTAGCAATGCGCGACGGGGACTTGGGGTAGCGGACGTCTTCCGTACTGGGCCAATTGATCTAGTGCAGCGCCTGGTATGTGGTGTGTGGTTGATAAGTATTGCGATATGTAAGGACTCTGCCAACTGCAACAAGATCAGCGGAAGAGATTGAACTGAAACAACCGTCGCGGCGGATGAGGCCTCTTGCCGGAAGCGGAAGACGGGCAGTATCTCTCCAAAGGAAGGCGGTAGAATTGCTGGCCAATAATTGGTGAGCGGTGTGCGGCGTCGGATAAACTCCGTCCATGCGCTAACTGTTTCAGGTAAATGAGCTTGTGTCCCATTTCAGACCAGCAAGTGACATAATTTTTGTGCACTTATAGGTAGGTATATGATGTGAGGATAGATTTGGGTGATTGTCCGTTGTCGGAGGTAAAACCCAGCGTTGTGCCGGTTCAAAAGTTAGTCCGTATGCAGCGGAGAGGATTATCTCAGAATTCTGCATCAGATCAAAAGTTGGCTAGCATGCTGGTATACCTACAAGGAACGAACATTCTGGCATTATGCTATGTTTCTTTGTTCAGCTGATAGTTGGCCGAATCAGAAGTAAGTCGTTGCGACCGAGCAAGAACCTTGGAACGCTGGATAGGCCTAATGGAGAGGTCCCTTGGATATGCATCTTCTCTCAATGATATCACTGCGAATTAGTTGTATAGCCTAGAAATGACCTATTCAATGGTGATGTTCCTAAGAATTTGACAACTGACAGCTTAATGGAGTTCAATATCTCCGTGAAAGCGTGAGCACTCTTATTCAGCCGAGTTGAGAACTCGAGAAACCACTCAGCGGTTTGCGTCGCAGTAAGAGGCTGCAGTGACATTTCTAGATTATTGCAAGCGTGGTTTGTCCGGTCTCCATGTTGAACAGTGGTGGCAGTTGTTCATACGGGAAATGTATTCCGTCCTGCTTCAGAGAAGAATAAAGTGATATCAAGAGACCGCCCGTAAATGAGGTAAAGCTTCACCCCACCGGGCTCACAACACAGCAAACCTTTCAGTATGCTATTTGCCATTTAAAGCTCCTCCTCCTGCTCCTGCTTCTGCTACTGTCTCCCATTTTCGCATCTTCTCGCTGTCTCGCGTGTCGTCTCTGACGTACAATACCACGTCTCTACCCCTCTGTCCGCACTAAGCTGGCCAAAGGGGAGCGCGAAATCCGAGTATTGACTTTCATGTGGTCGGAGCCACTTGCCCTTTCAATACGGATAGTTGGCCCAGGCAGGCTTGCATGACAATGGAAGTCATTCATGGAAATGTGAACGAAAGCGGTATCAGATGTCGATCTGCATGCATCCCATCTTGCTACCATGTATGCGGCGAGTGCGCGGCGGCGAACAGGATCTTGCGATCACAGGATAATGCTTCTGCTGCTGCTGGGACCATGTTCGACCCTGGAATTAGGTTGGGAAACCCTCTCCTACCTAGGATTCATTGGGTAGTTGGTTATTCCTGCTATATTTGTACAGCAAGAATAGCGAGGGCATAAAACCGGCAAGGGATACGATTCGTATGGCCTGTGAAGCTGGGAAAGTCAGGTGCGAGTCCTATCTGCACAATCACTGACGTTCAGATAGTGCCCTTGTGGGTGATGTGAATTACCGAGCAGGACAAATCCCCGAGGCCGAACTGGCGGAGTTACGGAGTACGTGGGGGCGGAAAATCGCCCTTGAGATATGGATGGGGTACAACAGAAGGTCCAACCCTTGAGCGAGCGGCACTAACGGGTGAAGTGATGTCAAGCTGCAGATCTTATTCTCGGCCCTGGTCACTGGATACGATGGGATCTATTTCATCCGGAGCAAGGATAATGTCATTCTGATGGTATGGCTGTGATTGTCCTCTGTTTGTGGGTTGTTGCTTGCACATCCAAAGTGAGATGGCATAGCTGAAAGGGAGGAAATGCGAACTTTGATTAAACCTACAACCTCCTAATCCGGAATGTCCGACGCTGCGATCAACATGAACTGCTAATCCTAGGATAGAACGATGAGTAGATCCTGATCTACCATGAGTATGCATGCATAACGCTGGAATTCTCGAGTGGCGGAAACAAATTCCTTGGAGGCATAATGAGTCATTGAGAGTTAAGCGAGGTGGTAGTGCAGCTAGTCGTCTTTTACAATCAAATAGGACGAGCTGACTGGCCTTCTGATTGGATCAAAGATGATGATCTTTAGGCTAGTAAATGTTGTGTGAGCAAGGGACAAGTGGCCATTGACGCGTACGAGAAGCATTTGAATTATTGCTCAATTAGGAGTAGACTCTAGTAGTACTACGACTTGCCAGGTGGGATCCACATCAATCCAGAGTACATACGTACTGTGTACTCATAGTAGATACAATGCCACGGCCACGGATTTGATCGCAAGGGCCCACAGTTCATCCTCTACCTCTTTGAGATACCGACAGTTTGGGTTTTGATGGATCACGACAGTCGATCATGATAACCAGATGCCATATGTCTTGAAACGTCCCCTGTCGATATTACCTAGAATTATCTAGAAACTCTGTATACTCGGTAGTTCTGCGTAATGCCGTCTCAGGCTTCAACATAAGGTTTAATAGTCCGTTGTAGGCTGCTACGGAGTAGCCTTCTGGGAAGTTCTAGGGAGTCATTGGCAACTGGAGAGGACAGACTGGAGAGTCCGCCAGTGGCTGGGAATAATTTCCGGCTGTCCCCAGGGAGCTGTCGATGAGCGGTACCATTCCCCTTCTGGCTAGGCTCGGCTTCCTCAGCTGCACTGGGAACAAACAGGGGCCAATCATGCCTCGGAAAAAGGAGTTCAGCTGAGCCGGAGAGCCGAGCGAGGGCCGAGCAGCTACACCCGCAGAAGCAAACATGCACCCTGATTGCTGGAAATAAGTGCCGGGCCATCCCCAGGAGCTGATTGGATGCGATGTCAGACTGTACTGACCAGGTCTGGAACACCCAAAACAACTGAAAGAAGTATGATCCTCGCCTGAACCGGTGCTGTGGCCCCTTCTCCAGTGCTCCAGTGCTCCAGTGCTTCAGTGCTTCAGTATCCATGGGTATCCATAGTATTCTCCGATCGGACATATAAATGCTCGGCCCTGTGGTTTCTAATTGGCTCTCCAGCATGCATGTTTGAGGTCAGATCAAAAACATGAAGGCCTGCTCAACTTTCCTATAAGAACCCCAGAAGAACCCTCTCCGCCCGCCCGCTGCCCCGTTTGCCTCCTCTCGACCGGTTCTCTTACCTGGCCCTTCTTCTGACGCGAGATTTATGTCCGACTCGCATTACCCGTCCTCCTCTCGTCCTCTAGCCCCTGCTCCAGGTCGCCCTCTGAAACGGAATGCCTCATCCGACGAGTTGGTGCCCGCGCGAAAGCACAAAACCACCGCTTGCAAAGCGTGTAAACGCAAGAAATTAAAAGTCGGTGCTTTTCCCCAATTGACCGGGTTTGGATTTTCCATCAGGCTGACCGTCACAGTGCCGCGGAGATCCTCCATGTCAGCATTGCGTCAGCCATGGCATCAAATGCGAGGTTGACGCAATGTCCGACATGCGCCGAAAAAATGCCATGGACCGCAAGGTGGCAAAGCTGGAGAAAGTGGCCGACACGTTGACTCGGCTGGTCAACGCTCTCCGCGATAGCGAGAGTCGACGAGTCTCGCAGCTGTTGAATCTGATCCGCAGTAACGCCTCGTTCGACGAACTCCAGCTGTTTCTGGAGCAGCAATTCTCCTACTACGAGCTGGAGTCGACCCCCGAATTGCGCGATATCCAAACCCAACTCTCCCAAACGACAGACATTGCCCCCCTGGGATGGCGCTACCTACGGGTCGATCGGCTGGCCGACGATCCGGTGTACAAGGTCCCCGCGAAGCCGTGGACGGCGGTGACGGACGACAGCGCGCTGGTGTCTCATCTGGTGTCGCTCTGGTTAACCTGGACGTATCCCTGGTTTAACTGGCTGGATGCCGATTGTTTGATCAAGCATATGCAGGAAGGAAAGCTGAATTCCCGATTCTGCTCGCCTTTTCTGGTCAATGCCATTCTCGCAGAAGCATGTGTACGTTGGTATTTGCGCAGATGACGGCCTTTTTTTCATTCCTGACTCGGTGTTACAGTATTACTCCGACTACGAAGAAGTATTTACCGTTCCCGGCGACATGCTCACTCGAGGCGATCAATTCTTCGACGAGGCACGTCGTCTGTTCGAGGCGGGCGAAGACGAAGGCGACTCTCCGAGCCTGCCGACTATCCAGGGACTCATGATTCTATTCGTTCGGTAAGACCGGGTCATTCGATGCGAAACAGGAACTTTTCTCTGACACGATCAGAACCACGTTGATGGGCAAAGATCGAATGGGATGGGTTTATCTGGATCTTGCCGCCCGTGGAGCCCAAGAATATGCTGCGTCTCATCCACCTCACGCGATGGAAGATGCGGAAGAAAGAAGGGCGATTGACAGGACCCTTTGGGGCATTTACAGCATGGCTTCGTATGTTTTACCGACCCCTTACCGGGCCATTCAAGAGGCTGACTGTCCAGAACGGCGGGCGTTTCTCTGATGAAGTATTTTGATATCCACCCTCCCCAGCAGTCCCCCATTACTCGTATCATCCATCAACGACATAAAGACGATGTCTGGCAACCGTATCCGCGCTCGACCGACGCCGGTATCCCCAGCCATCTCTCCTGTGTGTTCAACCGGTGGTGCGCGATCGCCGGCATCACCCTTGAAATCTCCCGCGCCTTCTTCCAGGCAGAGGACCGGATCCCTCGAGCCGAAATACTCCCTTTCGTCAATGACATGTACCAAAAATTACAGGACTGGTACGCTGACATGCCGGAGTGTCTTTTGGTTGAGAACGTCACCGTTCCTCACGCCCTGAGCATCCAGTAAGCCATCTGCAACCTTGCGGATAGATTGCCTAGCTGATCACAGAGCCAGCC